CCCCCCCAAAAAAAAAAAAAAAACCGCCGAAACCCGAACTCGACTGAGGCCCCTGAAAAAAAAAAACGAAGCCTCCCCGACGCAACGACTTTGGGCATCGGGAGGCCGAACACACGTCACCTTCCCGAGGCACCAGATGGGAAGGGGTTTAGGGTTTTAGGGTTTAGGGTTTAGGGTTTAGGGGGAAGCTTTAGAGCTCTTGGGAATCCCTAGACCCCCCAACTAGCCTCCGTTATATACCCCAAATACATAGTATAAAGGACCATTAGTGGTAGAGGATTGGGGGTTTATGGGTTCAGGGTTGCAGGAGTTCAGAGCTTCATGGGTTGGGGTTCTGGGGGTTTGGGGTGAGGGGGGGTTTGGGTTTTGGTGCCTAAGGCTTCAGGAGCTTAAGTTGGAACATCTTGCGCAGTATGTGCATAGTAAAGGGTGGCTTTGATCATTTTGGTTGCGGGTTAGGGATTTAGATGTTTATAGGGGTGCTTTCAACAGTTTTTAGTGGCATGCCGTCAATAGGGTGGTTTAACAGAGGTCCTATCAGTTGCTATAGGGTTGGGTGTACCGAGCTGAAGCCTAGGGAAAGAAGAGTGCATATCAGGGTTTTGGTGTGTCTAGTATAGGGCATATGTGGAGAATCATGGGACCTAGTCAGCAAGGTGATAAGTACCCTAATTGGGATTATGTACGCGGTTTAGGATTCAAGGTTAGACTGGGGCCGGGTTCCGATTCGTGATCATCTTTCTCAGTTTTTGGTCCTGCAGCCATGGACTGCAACCGTGCATGGGAGGAAACAACAATTGTTTAGGGTTTAGGGTTATAGGGACCCTTATATATCTACCTCCTCATTACCCGGCATTGCTGCTCTCAATCGCATTCTCTTCGCTGGTCGTCGTGACCCCAGGAACAATCTGCGGCATGTGCGGAATGCTGATACTCGCTTGTGCAATCGCCGCTGCTCCGAGCTGGCTGTGGTCAAAGAGACCAACGGTTGCTGCGCATGTCCCGTTTAACACCACGCAGGCTCCAGAGTTTGACAGGCATCGAACTCACCGTAGTACCATGCAGAGGCAGGGGATGAAAATACAAACGCGAAGCTCTGGGTGAAGGACAGAGTGACCTTCCTGGTGTCCGAACTGGACGACAAGTTGCCATCCAAGCTCAATCGCTTGCCGTTGATCAAAGAGAGCAAGGTGAAGGTCGTGTTGTACTCGACCGAGCTCGACGGCAGCTTGGATGGGGACCAAACCAAGAAACGCAGATTGAATGCATCCGAATTGTCAGGAAGCGCAAATCACTGTGTGAGTCGCGACATCACAGCTGGACCGCTGGGGTCCTGTGACAATCACAAACTAACATCCGGCGAGACGGATAGCCTTCGCAGCCAGCACAAGCATATCCCCAAAAGGTCTAAGTACTTATATGGTAGATACTTTGGGGCCCAAAATATCTACCCCTAAGGGTCCAAGTACCCAAATAGTAGGGTTTCATGGTCCAAAAACCACTCAGAGTATGGATTTTGGGCCCTAAAACCTTACTATTTGGGTCCTCGGACCCTCTGAGTACTATATGGGTACTTAGACCCTTTGGGATCCATCTTGAAGCACGGCCAGCGGAAAGACAGGGCATTCGAATTTGGACCAAGGCTGGGGAGCGACTTGACCTGAATCTGAACCTAGACCCTCCATCTACCCTCTATTAGACCCTAAACACCTACCATTTGGGGCCATATACCCTTATTTAAGGGCACAAAGAGGGTCCTGGAATGCTCGAACATCCCATTTCTAAACTTTACACTCCAAACCGGCCCAAACCCATATAAGCCTGCTTAATTATGCAACCCCTACAAGCACCCTTCAAAGTTACAAGGCGCCATTTAAAAAGCCCTTGAAGGAGCCCTCGACGCCGTACCTTGAAAAGTTCCGCCAACCGAAGATTCGTCTCCAGGAGCTTGGAGACTACGGCGACAGCTTCTCGCCGGGCGCCTGTTCATGGCTTAGGGTTTAAAATGGTTTGGCGTTTAGCGTTTAGGGTTCCGCAATAGAGGTCAGAGTAGGTAGCCCTCCCTATATAACAACACTTGATAACATGCACCCCAATTCTCAAGGCCGGGGTTTCCCTGCAGACAGGGGTATTGTCGGGTTTGGCATTTTAGGGTTTAGGCTTTAGGGTTTAGGGTTTGGGTTTATAGGGTTATGGCCTAGGGTTCAGGGTGCCACTCGCCGTCAAGCATCTTGCCTCCATAGCAGTATCTTAATTGTAGTCGAAGGTGTCCGATGTCATAACCCAGTACAACGAATATACCTTCTAAGACCCATGTATGCACGTTGTATGGGGTCTACAGAGTGTATAAACAAACTGTAATGTAGGGGTTTTTATAATAAGAATAGGGTTCTGGGGTCCATTATACTATGCTTAGGACAGCGAACCCCCACAATGGTGTTGGTATTTATTTCGGCCCCTACATTATGTAAAGGCAGTTGTCGTTTTCCAACCGCCTAGTCTGGGCAGCCAGCTCTAGGCCCCTTCTCTGGTGTCCACTTCCCATTTCTTCTGGCCTGAACCCGAAGGGTCCTCAGGACCCAGTAATCATGTACTTGGGTTACGGACAGTATTCAGAAGAGCATAGTGTTATCAGGCACTCGGAATAGTTAAGGATCGCAAGAATACCCCTTTTCGTGTTCCCCTATGTAATTTGCTGTACATGCCCCCAAAAACCCCAAGGCGCCAAGTTATAGTATAGTAGATACTTTTGGTGCCCAAATACTTACAAAGTAGCTACCATAGTACTACTTGGGCCCTTTGGGAAACCTATTCGAAATATCCCAAAACCCTCTAAACCCTATACCCGAAACCCAAAACGCTACACCCCTAAACCCTAAACCCGAAACCCTAAACCCGAAACCCTAAACCCTAAACCCTAAACCCTAAACCCTATCAAGACTTGTGTTCTAAGTTATTAGCCATCACGGCTCTGCGTTTGCAGACTCCAGGCGGAATCGGGAATCCTGACCAGGAAGAACCCAGAGACTCCAAAACCCCTTAATTAAGGAATCTAGCTTAAATCTGATTAGGGTTCCTACTATAACTTGAGGTACATTCCTTAAATTATAATAGGAACCCTCATAAGATTTAAGGTATATTCCTTAATTAAGGGGTTTGTGGAGTCTCCGAGGGCCCAACCAACCACAAGCGCTGAAGCTCCCCACGCCCCACCCCGAAAACGGTTTAGGGTTCAGGGTATAGGGTTTAGGGTATATAGGGTATAGGGTTCAGGGTATAGGGTTTGGGGTATATAGGGTTTAGGGTTTAGGGTTTAGGGTTTAGGGTTTATTTAGGGTATAGTGAGCCCCAGAGAGTTGGAACATGGATTTAGGATGATTAGTGCTGGGATTCCCTATACTTCACCTTAAGAGCATGGGGATAATGATGTTCCAACTTTCTGGCTTCTACTGTATAGGGTTTAGGGTTTACAGTTGAGGGTATAGGGTTTAGGGTTTACAGTTTAGGGTATAGGGCTTATAGGGTTTAGGGTTTAGGGGTCCCAGTTGAACCCAACGCTCTAAACCCAAATCCCGAAACCCACGATCCCTTCACTCGTCCTCGCAGTTCCTGCAAACTCAAGATCTCCAGCAGCACACCGGCCTTACCCATAGGCCCTAAAGTAGTTCCTTTTTGGGGCTCATGTGTAGAATCCTATAAGGTAATCCCCAAAAGGAACTACTATATGGGGCCTATGGGTAACCTCCCGAAATCCCAAGGCCCAAACGCTTCCCTACACCTTTTTCACCGACCACAGTCACGTAATGCTTCTTTGACAGTGTTTGTGTCTTCAGCCGGAACATAAAACCCTAAAGCTTGAGCCCTAAACCTCATTTTCTGGCTACTATAGAAGGCCTCGATCCTGAATTCCCTTCCTTCCCAGGGGCTTGACCCGACGAAGCCTGGCACCCAGCTTTCAGGGTTTCTATGGGCTCAGGGCTCGCACTCTAAGGGTGCAAGGGGGGGTGCAGAAGGATTTCGATAAGGTTTGGGGCTTGCGGTTGAGTGTATGAGGGGGGGCTTGACAGGGATTCTATTGCATTTTGGCGGTATTTTTCGTTGCGGAGTTCTCTACGAGGCACTTCAGGGTAACTACGTTGGTTTCCGCTAGGGCCCTAGACTAGACTTCATCATAAGAGATAACTATATATAGGGGGGGAGTATGGGTCGCAGAGCTTTGGCTGTTGCGGCCACAGTCGCTGGGGGGCGTATTACCCTACTTAGAAACAAGTTATATACTAATTTCAAGTACTGAGCCAAAAAACGTTAAACGCCAAGGCCACGATTATCGGGGCGACTGCGGCTGCGACGGGGCGTCCGACAACGATCCGATGTCTAAGGTCCTCTGGCGGCGCAGGAGCTGGCCGAGATTGGTTCTGATAAGACACGAAGGGTCCTAGGAACTAGCATGCGGATACTTCCTCAAATCATAAGACTATTTCCTAATATCGAAGCAGTACATATAAGTCCTTAGGACCCTTTGGGAAGATGATGAAGCACGACTTTTTGCCGGAGGCAGCAAGCTTTTTCGAGAAGGCTCGACAAACGACCGCAGCGACAAATGCGATGATGACGACGGGCGTCTTTCCTCTTGATATGTTCTATATATTTGCATCTAGTATGATACAGTAGCATGTAACTATACGTATACATTGCAAGGCGCATATAACTATACTTATACATTGCAATAGTTTTGGCCTTGCTATAAGCTGTAGTTACTCTGACCTATCATAGTATACTGTTGAGCTGTCGGCAGACCGACAGTGAGTGTGTTGAAGCATATATCTGCTTGGGTGTGTGTGTGTGTGTGTATGTGTATGTATCAGACATAGATGCAGATGCTTTGCGCGGGGACGCCGATTCGCATTGCATCGCCGATGAGGCTTCATCAAGCAGTTTACAGTAGCTACAAAGTCATCGCAGGTGCATTTTCAACTTGCTAGGCCACCGGGAAACTTTGTAATCCCCCCTTGTTCTTTTGAACTATTTCCAGTCTTCCCCTAAACCCTAAACCCCTAGACCCTACAGCTTCAGCTCTCAGTCCATCCTACCTACAGTCTCCATTGTAGTTCCTTTTCTTGGTTTAACCAGTTTTCTATTAAGGAGGTGAAAAGGTATCCCCCAAAAGGATCTACAATGGAGAC